CACATCCAGCTTTCTCTTGCTCACTGGATGTGGAACAGTTGCTGTTTAACTCAGATCTGTTATTATTCCAAGCATAAAACTAGCAATGGCAAAACCCAAGTGTTTTAAAGCTCGAGGAGAACCATTTCTACAAATGATAAATAAAACTTAGTGCATTCCTGAGCATTGCCCAACTGCAGCAAGCTCGCTCTGCTCGTGTCAAGGGAACCCTCTTGTTAAAGGTCCAGCTGGCTGCCTAAGTCACATGCTAAGTTTTAGTTCAAGGATGATCTCAGCAAAAATCCAGCTTCTATTTTTCATAGAATCAGACTCAATGAGGTTGGAAAAGAGCTTGAAGATCATCAGGTCCAAGCTCAGAATTTACTTTGGGCATATACTGTTCAGTATTTGTTTTATAGTCATCTTTTCAGCTCACAGTAAGATCACTGCTGTCATTTGGAAAGATAGGCACAGGTAGAATGATACTAAAGTGAGTGTAAGAGTCATGGAAACTTTCCCTTTTTTAATAGCATACTCTACACCGTACCCACGTAAGATGCTCTGCTACATGGTGCTGTGCATGGCCCTGTCTGTGGAAACTCACTGTAACCACGTCTTCACCTCTTAAACCCCAGTCCAGGCTCCCAAACTACTTAAACTTGGCTGAGGCAGGGACTCTCACAGACAGACAGATGGATGCATACAGCATATCAAGGGAGGGGATTCTCCCCCTCTACTCTACTCTCTGAGACCCCCACCTGGAGTACTGCATGCAGCTTTGGGGGCAACAACACAAGTGCGACTTGGAGCTCTCGGAGCAAGTCTAGAGAAGGCCATGGAGGTGCTGCGAGGGCTGGAGCAGCTCTGCTCTGGAGCCAGGCTGAGAGAGCTGGGCTGGGGCAGCCTGGAGAAGAGAAGGCTCCTGAAGGGGAGACCTGAGAGCAGCTCCAGTGCCTAAAGGGGCTGCAGGAAACCTGGAGAGGGGCTTAGGACAAGGGCCTGTAGGGACAGGCCAAAGGGAATGGCTTGAACCTGCCCGAGGGGAGACTGAGATGTGCTCTTAGGCAGAAGCTCTTCCCTGTGAGGGTGCTGAGGCGCTGGCACAGGGTGCCCAGAGAAGCTGTGGCTGCCCCATCCCTGGCAGTGTTCAAGGTCAAGTTGGACACAGGGGCTTGGAGCAAGCTGCTCCAGTGGAAGGTGTCCCTACCTGTGGCAGGGGGTTGGGACTTGATGAGCTTTAAGGTCCCTTCCAACACAAACCAGTCTGGGATTCTGATAAACACACACATGATGCATGCTACTCTGCTGAGATGCTCTGAGGTGTGTACAAGCAGAATCTTGGTGGATTATTCTGCATCTAGGTATACCTTGTCCACTGCCCACCGGTTCCCTGACTTAATCATCTTTTTTATATAGATGGAAACATTCATCAGAGAAGCTGTGATGATTTTTTGCACATTCCAGCTGTCCTCTCCAGCTGTCCTGTGAGGAAGCTAAGCATTACTGTCCCTAAATTGGCTGGCGTTGGGGTCTGTGCTCTGTAAGTTGTAAACAAGAGAGCTTGCTCCATTGTCTCTAATGGGATCTTGTCCAAGGGAAAACAGAGATTGTCTTCAACAATTTGAAGCTTGTGTAGGCAGACAATATGCTGACTTTTGCCTGTGGGCAACATGAAGGATGCTTCTACTTCAGACCAAGCAGCTGAGAGCCAACATGAGTTCAAAGCACTGCTGTGTGTGCAGCTGAGAGGATGGATCAGTCCCTGGGCAGCTGTGAGCTGGTATGTGAAAGTGTACTGAAAGAAGAATTTGAATCCAGGCTCTGGTAATTCAAATTCTTCTATTCAAATTCTTCAAATTCAAATCTATTGGATTTCAATGAGAAAGGCCTGGATCTTCCCTCTAATTCCAATAGTTTAATAAGTAACAGGCATGCAATTAACTATTACCTACTGAAAATAATATGATAGAAAGTAGAGTATGAAGTGTTACAAGGTGCAACAAATGAGCTTTGCCATTAATGTGAATGTCATTTGACGTGCTGTTCAGCCCGAGTGTGGTAATGCTGTTAGCAGCCTTCTTCCCAAGAATGCTTATAAAGGCATGAAAAGCATGAGATAAAAGGTGGCTTAAACCAAAGCATAAGAAAACAGCATGAAATAAAGTAAAAATTCAAGCACAATGTGACAGTAGTTTGAGAGAGTGAGTTGCACAGTTGACAGAAAAGGTCTGGCTATGGCTGAATATAAACTCTTGTAAGACCAGCACACTGGGAGCTCTTCACTTCGGTCACAAAGATACCATGACACATGGCTGCACAACCCAGTGTTTCCTCTTCTCGTCACATAAATCTGCTGTCATCAAAGATAATGTGCATTGTGCAACTTGCAGCTGATCCAGAAAGCAGAATATAGGACTTCCCTAATCCTACTGACATTGAATCACGGGTGGCACAGGCTGTCCAAGCTACAGAGAAAATATATCCCTATTATTAATGCAATTTCTGTTCTTTTGCTTACAAACTGTGCCATTGCACAGCCTTGTCATAAAACAACTTGTAGGTTCGAGGTTAGTCTTTCTGGAATACTGAGATGTACTCTGCAGTGAACCACCAGTATCACAGAATCAACGAGGATGGAAAAACCTTTAAGATCATCAAGTTCAACTGTTATCTCAGGATTGCAGAGGCCACCACTAAACCATGTCAATAAGGCCCTTGTCTACATGGTTTTAACACTTCCATGGACAGTGATTCCACCACTACCCTGGCAGCCTGTTCCAATGCCTGACCACCCTTTCGGGAAGGAATTGTTCCTCAGCTCCATCTAAACCTGCCCTGGGGCAGCTTGAGGCCGTTTCCTCTTGTCCCATCCCTTGTTCCTTGGGAGCAGAGCCCAGCCCCTCCTGGCTCCATCCTCCTCTCAGGCACTTGGAGGCAGCCATCAGGTCCCCCCTGAGCCTTCTCTTCTCCAGACTGAACCCCCCAGGTCCCTCAGCCCTTCCCCACCACACTTGGGCTTCAGGCCCTGCACCAGCCCCATTGCCCTTCTCTGGCCCCGCTCCAGCACCTCAAGGTCTCTTTTGTAGTGAGGGGCCCAGAACTGAGCACAGGATTCGAGGTGCAGCCTCACCAGTGCCCAGCACAGGGGCCCAATCCCTGCCCTGGCCCTGCTGCCGCACTGGTGCTGGTGCAGGCCAAGATGCTGGGGGCTTCTTGGCTGCCTGGGCACAAGCTGCTCATGTTCAGCTCCATCAGTCAGCACCCCCAAATCCTTTTTATGGGCAGCTTTCCAGCCACTCTTTCCCCAGCCTGTGTGTATGTATATACACACACATATATATATATACAAATACATATATAAATAATGTCAGGTTAAGCAAGAGTCTGTGCTTCAGGAGTACAACTCCAAGCTTCTGGCAAGCCTTTTCAGCCAAACACAAGGTTGGTTTGAAGTACCTGCAAGCTGGCAGAAATACTACGGTATGAAAACAGTAATGTAAATCCACCCAGCCTTTTTATCTTTACATAAGCATTTGTGTGGAAGGAGAACAGGAGATTTCAAATGTACGTGGCAGCCTGAAGCGATAGGTATGCCGCAAGTTAACATATAGATCTTAATTACTTCTGATGGTTAACTGACAGAAGCAACTGAAAACAGGAAGGCGAACGAAACCATTGCCTGCTGGTTACTTCAGGCGTTCAGAGAACCTTGAGAAGTGCTGTTATGCTGGCACAAGCCTTGTGCTGCCCTTCACACGCAGACAGACGCCTGTGCAGTCACGCATAGGACACCATGCACTGCCGGGAAGGTTCAAACACCCATAATACCTTCAAGGAGGAACTGGTTACAGGAAACTCGATTTAATCCAAGTGTACAGGCTCAATAACTTGTACTATTTCAACATGAACGTTGGCTTAGCAAAAGCCAAAACTTTGTGACCCTTATGTTATGGGATAACCTTGGTTTAAGTAGGATGTTTCTAGCTCTTAAGGTTCCACTTACAGAATCACAGAATCAACTAGGTTGGAAAAGACTTTTAAGATCATTAAGTCCAACCATTGCCCCAGGACTCCCAAATTCAAATAATCTACTTGAAACTTCAGAAAGGAAAATAATCCAGTGTTTATTGAAAATAAACCACACAAACTCGAGTGCCTGCGGTGGTAATAAAAGTGGCTGAAATGATCATTATCAGAAGGTTCATTTTTTTCCATTTGACCTTTCTCAATTACTTCTTTATTTGGTTACTCGGTTGTTCAGCCTCGAGAAGAGAAGGCTCCTTAAGGGGAGACCTTAGAGCAACTCACAGTGCTGAAAGGGGCTACAGGAAACTTGGAGAGGGGCTTGGGACAAGGGCCTGTAGGGACAGGCCAAGGGGAATGGCTTGAACCTGCCCGAGGGGAGACCGAGATGAGCTCTTAGGCAGAAGCTCTTCCCTGTGAGGGTGCTGAGGCGCTGGCACAGGGTGCCCAGAGAAGCTGTGGCTGCCCCATCCCTGGCAGTGTTCAAGGCCAGGTTGGACACAGGGGCTTGGAGCAAGCTGCTCCAGTGGAAGGGGTTTCAGCTGGATGAGCTTTAAGGTCCCTTCCAACCCAAACCACTCTGAAGATGTATGGCATTGTTTGAACTCCCTACAACCCTCTATGCCAAACCTCCCCATCAGGCCAACACCTGAAGGCAAGAAACGCTGCTTTCCCACCAGCCTCTGTGCCTGCAGCGGTGCTCACACCCACGGCACTCCTCCCCAGGGCCTCCAGCCAACCCCACACAACACGGCCGCAGGGCACACCTGCAGCCTGCTCCCTCAGGGGCGGCCCGAGCCCCGCGCTCTGCCGCACAGACACCCCTGGCCTCCCCGTTTAGGCCGAGACGGGGGTCATCCACACCGGCGGGGGCCGGAGGCCGCGGTGGCGGGCGCTGAAGGTGCTGAGTCACGCTAGGCCAGCAGAAGGGAGGCGGGAGGGCGGAGCGTGGCCGTGCGCGATGACGTCAGCGCCGGTATAAAATCGTCATCGCGGCGCTGGAGGCCCTCAGAGCTCGTCGGCGAGGCAGAGCGGAGCGGGTTCCTGCTTCAACAGTGCTTGGACGGAACCGGCCGCGCTCGGGCCCGCCGCCACCGCTGACCGCCTTCATCGCCCCGCCGGACTTCACCGACACACACCCCACCGAAAGGCAGCGCCATGGCAGCTCCCCCTTCTCAGGTGCGTCAGAACTACCACCAGGACTGCGAAGCCGCCATCAACCGCCAGATCAACCTGGAGCTCTACGCCTCCTATGTGTACCTCAGCATGGTGAGTGGATCGGCCGAGAGGAGCTCAGCCACCGTGGGATTAAGGGGAGAGGGGAGGTTAATGGGAAGAGGGGGACTTCGGGCCTACTTGAGCGCCTCTGGTAGCGGTGCGAGGGGCTTAGGCCAGGCCCGGTGCGGCTCCTCCCCAGAGGGACCGAGCCCGCCTTGTGCTTAGGCCCTGTTGGGGTGGGGGGAGAAGCATCAGAACTTCAGTGCGAGGCCTCCCTGGGGAAGGGGGTGGGTGTGAGGGAAGGGATAAAGGCCGTGGCTGTGGGCCTGCAGACCCCCGCCGCTGCGAGCTCTATACCAGGGTGCAGCCTGGGGTCCCGCACGGTGCCCCGGTTGGGGAGCGGGGTTGCGAGTGCCGGGTGATGCCTGCGGACGAAGCCACGCTCCTCCTTCCCCCCCCCCATCGCCTGAGGGGCGTTCTCAGCCTTCCCTGGGGGTGGGGCGGCCGCTTGTTTCCTATAGGTGAGGCCTTTATCTCGGTGCCGGGCTGCAGTTACACGTTAACCGCGCTCCGTCCGTTGCCCTTGGCGGACTCGTTATCAGCACGGCACAGCTCAGCAGCTTCCAAGCGGCGCTGCCCTTGGGGCTGGGCTGGATAGCAGGAGATGAGTAACGAAGCGATTGGCACCTTTCCCACAGGCGTTCTTGTCTCTTGAGGCGAGGTTTTTCATAGTCCGTCGTTTCTTGAAATGAATTAGTAGGAATCCGGGGATTCCTTAGCGCTGTGCTCGCATGCTTCACATGGTGCGAGATACTCCGTTTAGCCATGTTAGTGATGAGCAACTTTGGTGCAACCAGCAGCTGTGACCTCTGTGCAGCAATCCTGGTGCTTTAGATGTTTAGGTAATTTGAGACTTTATGGTGATATGGTAGTATGTTGTGGCCTGGAGTTGTACGGCTTGACAGCTTGATTTTCTGTCACCATGAAGGTCTGAACCTCATGAGTTGAATGTAATTATGTTGTTGGATGATAGTGGTGCACAAGCACCAGTGTGTTTCCTCCAACCTCCCAGGCAAGCTTCTGGTTTAAAAGCAGAGATTTCTGCAGCAGCTTGATTAAATAACTGGCATCTGATACAAAGCTTTTGATTGAACCCTGCCTGATGGCTCTGACCAAAGAACAAACAAGCAGTGTGATGTCTTCTAAGTGCTGTTACAGGTTTTGCTTTAAAAAGAAAAAGCAGTCTTGTACTTGCTGTTTAGTTCCTTTTGACTTTTAGATGTGTTTTTTTTTTTTCCCCAAAAAAGGAATTGTCCTTCCTAATTTAATCCCTGATAAGCCTGGGGAGCCACAGGAGTTTTATTGCAAAATTACCTTGAACTTGGTCACCTTTATCTGGTATTGCAAGTCAGAGCATCAACTTGTGATCATTGTAAACAAACTTGGGCAAACAAAAGGAGCAGGAACATTCTTCTTCCTTGAAAACGGCTTTTCAAGTCTGCTGTATCTAAGGCATTTGAGTGATGCTCAGAACAGTAATCTATGGGGTGGGAGTTCTTTTTGTATCTTCAGAACTGAACCAGAAATAACATTTATTTGTTCATGGTAGACATACAAGTTAAGATTTAATTCTGGTCAGGAGAATGTGAGTTCCCCTAAGGGAAGAGTTTTGCCAGGCTGCCTTGATGTCAGTGCTGCTGCTGGCCTTGGACTCCAGCAGCCCTGAAAGCAGGGCTGATAGGGGACAGATCTGAAGTTGTAGTATGGATTTGACTTTGTGTGGCTGCTGGAGTGAGGCTTGGGGGCGTGACTGTATGAATTCTTATTTTTCAGTCCTACTACTTCGACCGGGATGATGTGGCTCTGAAAAACTTTGCCAAGTATTTCCTGCATCAGTCCCACGAGGAGCGTGAGCATGCTGAGAAACTGATGAAGCTGCAGAACCAGAGGGGCGGGCGCATCTTCTTGCAGGACATCAAGGTAAGGAGTGGAGCTATGGGTTGTCCTGTCTAATGCAGAACTAGGCTTGTGGCCTGCCTCCATGCCGGAAGGGGATTAATGTCCCTGTGAGCCCTGAAGCAGCTGACTGTACCTAAACACACTGCATTGCTGTGATCTGTGTGGCACTCGGCCCAAAATCTAGAGATGGGTAGTAAATTGATAATTGGCTGACTGGCCAATAAAAGGTACTTGTGTAAGAAGAGAATACCTGGCCCTAGGTGGTTTGCTGTGGGCTGAGGGTAACTAGAACACACAGCTGGTTCACCTACCTTAGATTTAGTGGTGTTAGCTATGCTCGTTTTGTAGAGAACTCAACTGCCTTGTCACAGGAACATAAAATGTCAAGTTTGCTATTGCTTCTTAAGCTCACTGCAAGGTTTTGTGAAGTTACTTTAATGAGATAATTTGGAACAGCAGAAAGCAAGCAGTGTTGTAAAGCCTGTTTAATGTAACATAACTCTTCATGAGGGAAACAGCAAACAGAGTGATAGGCTTGTGAGAAGGATTCCCTTGCTTTACTAGTAAGTGAGTGCTTGGAAACACCAGACTCTACTAGGCAGTTCTGAGTTGAAAGTTAGATTTGCCTGCCCTGGTGTCTTAACTGCTTTGTTTCTGGGACTGTGGCTGCTGGCTAGTTACGTAGGCAGATGTTTAAACCATTAGGTTTTAACAGGAGGAGGGAAGCGGTAGCTCTCTTAGCTGTCTTGCCTACAAGAAGAGAACCTGGGGAATGGGAACAGGTCTGGGACATGCAGTCCTGTTCTCAGTGTGCACTGTGTGCTTGCCAAATGTTTGAAGATGCCTAAATGCCTGAACTTGCTCTAAACAGGCTTTGAGACTGATCTGAAAGACTTTCCTCCCTACTGGTCTGTGGGTACTTAAGAGAAATTATGGTCATGTGCTTTCCCCTTCTAGAAGCCAGATCGTGATGACTGGGAGAATGGACTGACTGCAATGGAATGTGCCCTGCACCTGGAGAAGAATGTGAACCAGTCACTGTTGGAGCTGCACAAACTGGCAACTGAAAAGAATGATCCACATGTAAGTGGAAGCTGAGAATGGAGCTCTGCAATTGGCTGTCTGGTAGTGTGGGAATGGGGGCAAGTTTTGTGTCCCTGATGTTACTGAAGATGGAAAAAGTATGTGAACTGGTGGTATAGCCTTTCCAAAAGGAAATGCTGAGGTGTTGGCTTGTACCTTAACCATTTGGTGTAGGATTGTTGCCATCTCCTTCCAGGAGGACTACTTGCAGTGTGTTAGGGTGCCTGAGGCCCACCTTACAGAACAGTGGGTGCATGGCTTTGTGCAAGCCCCTCTGTTGCTCTCAGAACAGAGAGCTCTTTATGAACAGCATCTTGAAGAGGAGAAATATATAAAGCTCTACAAAAAAAGTCTTGCTTTTGTGGGGGATGAGTTCTGGCTTTAAACCAAGTGGATGCCTGTAAAGGCTTTCTGTCATAAGGCTCTTTTGTCATCAAATTTTGGAGCTGCTTCTTCCAAATGTTAAAAGCCCTGACACTTCATAACACAGTGCCTGAAAACACAGCTTTCTTCACACATTACAGTTACTGGCAAGGCTGGATTGAGACTTCTTAGTATCAGGAAGGGATTTGTCCTAGTACTCTTAGGAGTGTCCTGCCTAAGTTTTTAGGGACTTTTCTAAAAGAAATAACATAGGGGAGCCATTCTACCTATGTAAATCCTCATGTGATGAATTCAAGTGCTGTGCAGTGGGGGTTTCTAAATCTGTTTAGTAACTTTGCTATTGCTTCCCATGGAGAGGCTTCCTGAGCTGATGTACTGCATAGTTCTGGAGCAAGTGTGCTAGCTAAGCCTGCTTTGGTTTGGCCTTGTTCTGATACTGCAAAGGCACAACCAAAGGCTGTAGCTTTTAAATTCTCACTTCTGTGTCTGTAGAGAGGATGGGTAGGATTTCAGATGCTGCTGCAGCAGGATAAGCTGTTCCCAGGCCTAAATTCCAACTCTTTTTCTTTCCCTTTCAGTTGTGTGACTTCATTGAGACTCATTACCTGGATGAGCAGGTCAAAGCCATCAAGGAGCTGGGTGACCATGTGACCAATCTGAGGAAGATGGGGGCACCAAAGTATGGCATGGCGGAGTACCTCTTTGACAAGCACACCCTTGGGGACAGCGACCATGACAGTTGAAGTCATGCCAAGAGCCACCCTCTGGGTTTCAGTGGGACTCCTACTTCACTGTCCAGCCATGCATGCATTTCCAGCTATCTAGATAAACAGTTCTTATACTCTGTACCAAATATCACCCCTCTTTTCTCTTGTGTTTTGTGTATCGCCCTCCATCCAATAAAGTGACTTGGTTCAAGTTGGAATTTGCTGTTTCTCTCGGTAGCAAGAGGCCTGCACTCATGGGATTGTGCTCTGTAGTTTCTTTTGTGACAGTTGACTTAAGCTGGTCATAAAGGAATCAGAATCATAGAACAGTTAAGGCTGGGAAGGACCTTATTATCGTCTAGTTTAACTCCCTGCTACAGGCAGGGATGCCTCACCCTAGACCATATCACCCAAAGCTCTGTCTAACCTGGTCTTGAATACTGCCAGGGATGGAGCATGAGTGGAATAATATATTCCTTCCTACTTACTCTCTTGCCTCTTATTAGAGGGAGCGGGTTTTACTTGCTTAGTGCTCTTACAATGGTGATGAATGTGATTTAAATCCTTTATTCAAAGCTGTTGCCATAAAGCACAAGGAAAGGAAAGCTTGAAAATCTGGGCTTCCTGAGCTTGTCCCTGTGAATTTAGATGAAATAACTGAAGGGGGGAGGAGGGTGTTGGAGCCTCACTTGGCATTGTGCCTGCCTAACAAATGGTGCTATGCTTCTGAGTGGAGAAAACGTCCTGTGAATCCAGATTTGAGCTGTGTGCTGGCACCAGGCTGAACTGGAACAGCAGTGTTGGAGGAACTGCCTTGCTGACACCATCAGCAGTTGCAGCTGCTGGTGGTGTTTGCCAGGGTCTGGCAGTACTGGGAAGGCAGTGAGTGGGCAGCTGTTGGGGAGGGATGTGGGAAGTGAGTTTGTCACATGGCCCCTGTGAAATGGGATGCTTTCAGCTGTTTCTGAAGACAGAAGTAGAAAAACTTTTGTTTTTCTATTCTTAACTGCTATTGTTGCATGGAAACTAAAATGAGGAAATGAAGCAGATGGTCCTGGTCTTCAGCCTTGCTTTTATTTTGTTAAGGAGGACAGTAAAACCCCAAAGCTCTATGGTTTCTGCTGCCATCCAAACAACTTATTCTCTCAGCATTGTCAAATCAGTGGCAGATGTGATATGGAAAAGGAAGCAATGTGTAGGGCAAATCCCATTGCCTGCAGCCACCTGGTCTAGTAGACACTTGCCTTGCCTTGTTCCATTACTTTTCCAGAACTGGAAAACACTGCTGGGAATGACATTGAGGCCCTGTGAGTCTGCATCACAAATGGTGAGTCTTGCTTCAGTCCATTTCCCTGGAGTATCTTGTCAGTAGTGCAAGTCATGCCTGAGACTTGTAATGGGTGTTGTGACGCACTGACATAAAGCTCACATTCCAATTTGTGCTGTGGTGAGGAGGAGGAGATGTCCTTATTAATGTCCTTCTGTTTTGGGTGACACTTGCACTCCAGGTTCTTCAGGCTGGTACCTGCTGAGATACTGCTCTGCTGTTGTGTATCTGCAGTACTTCGCACTCAAAGGTCTTTTGCTACAGATGTAGAGGGGTTTTTGGTGGTTTTATTGGTGCAGCACTGAAGTTGTGTCTGCTACTGTACCCAATGCCAGTAGCAGTGAGTCTTTAGTGCTGGCTTTAGCCTAGGCTGGGCTTTAGCTCTATGTTCCAGCAGTAGGTGGTTTGGCTGTGTTGCCCTGTTTGGGTGAGTGCCAGTGTGGCCAAGTGTAAAGATACTGCAGTATCTCAACAGAACTGTGCCTCTTGCTCTCTAGCTGTACTGGTCCATCTGCTCTTCACATGTGCTTTCACTGGTCTCCATGATCACCTCCATCAGCCCCACATAGTCACCTTCAGCTAGAGAGATGCCAGAGTCATTGGGGGATGGACTCTCAGCTCGTCTTGTCTCCTTTGTAGGGGGAGCATTCGTGCTTCCATTTCCAGTGTCTCTTGTGTTCCTGGAAACCTCTGCTGGATGCTGGTCTGGAGCACTGGCTGCATCTTCTAAACTTAGGCTGCGAGCATCAGGACCCATATTCCCCATGTGAGACCTCTGCAGCACTGGGGATGTTACAGGGGTGAAGGAGAAGCAGAAAGAGGTGCTGCTTCCAGGGGTTTTGTTATTGGGGGTGTGAAAGTGCTCAGAATTGGGAGTAGGTGATGATGTGCTCTCCAGTGATAGCCAGGGAGGGTGGGAAGATTTCACGCTCTTCAGGCTCTTGAAGCTACCCTGCTTCTCATAGTCTGGGGACTCTGTCAAGAAGGGGAACTTAGGGCTATCTGATGCTGTGGACTGAACTCCTGGGCTTCCTGTGGTGATACCTTCTTTGCCTTTACCGTAAGAGTTGCTCTTTTCTTCTGCTGTTACAACCAGTGAGTCAGAACCTTTGCTTCGGTCTGTTGGCCAAATAAATGTTTCCTTTGCACCCGAGCCAATGGAGCTTTGGCTTTTATACACATCACTGACTCTAGAAGGGGAGGTACTGACCACATCCCTAAGAGAAGTCGAGCATGCAGCAATGCTGGAGAGTGCAGGAGGCTTCTTGCGGCCTTGGCGTCTAGAAGGGAAAATCATAGGGATAGAGCTGATGGGTGTCTGTGGAGCGCTGTAGAAACCAGGTCTCTCGTAGAATGGGGTTGACATGAAGGCATCAAACTCTCTTAGTTTTCCATCTTCGCTGTCCCACTGTTCCTGTGAGCTGGAGTCTCCCCTTGGCTGATTGATGCCACAAGGGCTTCCAGCCTTGCCCATGTCTTGGTATGTGTAATGGGAGAAAGGGGACGTGGGTTCTCTCCTGCGCAGCAGGTTCATCCGGGAAGAGGACCTGGAGAAGCTGGGTGACTGCACACCAAGAAGCCGGCCCAGGTGCCCCAGTAATGGTGTGGAATGGTTGGCCTCCTCATTCTCTTTAATTTGCTCCAGGGGCTGGAACTCCATCTCTTCTTTCTGCATGCTGGGGAGAGGCAGAGCAGGCTGTTAGGTTGCCACAAAAAGAAATGGGTTTTGGGGGAGAGGCTGCATGCTGCTGCCAGTGGCAAGCATGTCTTCCCTGTGCTGCCACTAGATATGTGTCAGGCCCCCCACAGTAGGGATGCTCATGGTAGAGGAGAGTGTGGAAAAGAGGTCAGAGGCATCCTTGTAAGTGGAAGATGTTGGCTGTTGTCTTTGGACAAGCCTAGAAGTCTCTTAGGGTGAGATTTCACAGACTATGGAGGAAAATACTATTGCTTGTTCTTACTCCCCTTCAACAAGATCTGCTCTAAGGTGTAAATGCAGAATGTTCTGACACCCCATGGCTGTGCTCACCTGATATCAAAAGTTGAGCCAAGGAATGATGGGCGCTTGTACTCAGCAGTGGCTGCAGTGTAGGGGGGCTGGGGATCAGGCTCATTCCAGTATAGGTCCTTCTCCAGAATGGGTAAATCCTGGTGCATCTCATCCACAGCCATAAGGGAGACCTGCAGGGGACAGCAGAAGTGTCATATGGGGTAAGCAGCATTACACATAGAATCAGTGGATGGTTTGTGTTGGAAGGGAGCTTATAGCTCATCCAGTTCCAACCCCTGCCACGGGCAGGGACACCTTCCACTAGAGCAGCTTGCTCCAAGCCCCTGTGTCCAACCTGGCCTTGAACACTGCCAGGGATGGGGCAGCCACAGCTTCTCTGGGCACCCTGTGCCAGCGCCTCAGCACCCTCCCAGGGAAGAGCTTCTGCCTAAGAGCTCATCTCAGTCTCCCCTCGGGCAGGTTCAAGCCATTCCCCTTGGCCTGTCCCTACAGACCCTAGTCCAAAGCCTCTCTCCATGTTTGCTGTAGCTCCTTTAGGCACTGGAGCTGCTCTAAGGTCTCCCCTTAAGGAGCCTTCTCCTGCTGAGGGGGAACACTGAGCTGTCCCCCATAACCCTCATATTTGTTGGGAAGCTTTACACTCTCCTGCTCTCCTTGACATCTCCGTTTGGAAATCCTAGGCCCCTTCTTAACATGCAGCCAGCTCAGGAAAGCACAAGGGCACTGCTTCTCCACCCATTGCAGGCATGGGAAGTGGATGGTGAAGGTGTTGCAGAACTTTGCACTGACAGGGCTTGTTGAAGCCATAGGTGCACTCCTACCTTGGTGTTCCTCTGCAGGTGAGGGTCATCAGAGCTCCCTGCCTTCACTTTACCTGTAGATTCCTGTCGATGAGCCAGTTGGTTTCAAAGTCATCATCATCCTCTCCAAAAGGGTTGATGAGCTGCTCAGCCACCTGCATATGGAGAGAACATAGCAAAGGTCACCATGGTCATCCCCACCGCTTCCCCCACTGGAAGAAGGCCTGTTGGGCAGAGTCAAGCATATACCTTGAACAGAGCAATGCTGTTCCTCCCAAAAGGGATGGTTTAAAGCAGGAGGCTGTGTCCGATTCCAGCTCCAGGTGTATTTTCTTGGACTTACCTTTAACCAGCCAGCATAGAAGAAGAACTGCAGAAACGTAAAGACTGGCACAAAGAGATCTAGTTCATGGCCAGGATATGCTTTTTCTGGATCCAGGAACTGCCGCCCGATCAGACAAGCCAGGAAGAAGCTGTAAACAGCCACGGTCACCACCTGGGAAAGATGCCAGAGGAGCTTGAGTTCCCAGCCTTTCTCTTCAGTTCCACCCCACACGTCTCCAAACAGCAACAAGCTGCTTCTGGATCTGTAGCCTTTTGAAAGCCTTGGATTCAGTGATCATAGAATCAGAGTGGTTTGGGTTGGAGGGGACCTTAAAGAGCACCTGCTTATGACAGGCTTCTCTGCTTTCTGTAGGAAGATGCATTTTGACTTTAAATATGCTCTTTGCCCTTTAGTCGTTACGTTGCTATGTAATATGAAATACACATATGTAACATGAAATACACTGTATTTCATTCCATGCTGTCCCTGGAATGACATCTGTGTAGGCATCACAGAAAGAAAGCAAATGACACCCTGGATGGAAAGAGCTGAAACGACTGACACATGGCTGCCTGGTTGTTCTGCTGCCGAGGTAAGGGGTGCTGTGAGCTCTTTTCATTCCTGTCCTTGCCTCTCCTGAAAGCTATCTCAAGCCCCTCTTGGCTCAGGCTGCGCTGCCAGAGCTGCTCCTTCCTTCCTGGCCCTCATGCTGGATGTTTTGTGTATTCACTTGCCTGCATGCCCAGATTTCACTGAGCTTTGTGCTTTTCTCTGCAATCACAGGACTGGAAACTTCCCCTTTTCAGATTAAAAGCAGCTGAGGCTTTTGCATGGTCTCTACATGCAATGAGAAAGAGGGCTCAAAACAAAACCACCCAGCATCACGAGACTCTCGAGCTAGCCACTGAGTTCCTTGCAGGGCTGTTGGTGATGGGCAGAATAGAAAGTGCGTGGAATGACAGTGTGGATGAGCACCCATAAAAAGAACAGGTTGTGTACTGCAAAGATGTGCTATGATATTGCTTTTTGCTCCTAATGTGCAGAACAAAGGGCTGTGCAGAAATAGTTTCCCAGCGTGTTCCCTATTTAACCTTCAGTGCCACGTGAATGGAAGCTGTTCCGATTTCACTGTGCAGTGCATTAGTGTTATCTGAGCAGCTGGATTGCATCTGACAAAGGAGCCAAAGCGTCTGTCTGGGTTGGCATCCAGGGAGCTATTAGACACCTGAGAACATGCACGCAGCACTCACACGCATGGCATGACTCCATCGGAGCTGCCGTGCCTGCTTGGAGCAGCTTTGCTTGGCAGATGCATCTCAGCTCTGCTGAGTGGGAAGAAACTGATTCAGGGGTGTGATCCCTGCAGCATAGTGCAGGGAATGGGTCTGTGTGTATCTGTGGTTTCCATGCACCCATGTGGCACGCATCATGGTTAGGTACTCCTGGACAGTGGGTTGTTTTAAGATAGGGAAATAAGGGCTGGGTGTGTGTTGCTGAGGTACATATGTGAGAGCACCAACGTGTGTAGGTGATGGTCCATGTGTGGGTGAGGTATGGGTGTAAATGGGGCCGTGTGTGCAAGCAGGCAGTGGAGCAACAATATGTGATATGGTTTAGTGATGGTTTTGGCAGTCCTGGGGTAATGGCTGGATGTGATGACCTTAAGGGTCTTTTCCAACCTGTTTGATTCTATGACTCTACAATAGGTGTGGGGATCCCTTCTCACCTGAGTGTAGACCAAGGGGATGCTGATCCAGTCATACCCATAGAGTCGCCCACACTGGCTGCGCAAGGTGTTGAGCTCCTGCAGTGTGGAAAAGGAAGAGCCTGTCAGTATAGCTTTGCATTTCCTTGCTGGGGACACTGAGAATCTCCAGCCTCACTGCCCTTTATTGCTCCAGCCCATTCCCTCCTGCTCACACCTCCTCTGGAAGGTGGGGCTCAGCCTCACTCCAGCAGAGCACCAGGAGGGTCTCAGACTTGCCCTGGAGAAACTCATAGCAGAGATTACCTCCTCCCAAAACGAGCAGCCAACAGGTTAGGCAAAGAATAACTCAGGAGCATCCATTTCTCTCTCCTGACTATACAGTGAGTCTGGGTAAATAGCCCAGAGGGAGACATCTCACTCCAGGTAACAGAAAGAATGTGGCCTTCTTTGCACATGAATACCAGGCAGGATGAGCTGCTCTGGACCCTTTTCCCCTGCAGCTGCGCAGGGGTGGCTGCCAGGTCTTGTGGAGCATGCCCACACTATCCCCCTTATCACACTAAATCCACACTATGTGGAGCATCCCAGGACTGTCCAAGAGTTTTCAATAGTGAAGTTTTCCAAAGAGACCTTGTTTTTGGGGGATGTTTTTGTCCTCTCCTGGTCTCTTCCAGATATGTGCTTCCTTGTGGCTTTCCGTCTGTATCCTAGAGACTTCCAGTGTAATATCCTTAGGGGCAGGCTTGGCTCACTGTCCTACCTCACCATTCCTATTCCTTGCCTGACTCTGGAAATCCCTGTAGCTCCACATAAGGTCCCAGGTGAGGATCCAAGATAGCTGCCTGTTGCCTGGCACTCACATTCAGGATGCCTTGGAGCAGCACGCTGTCCCGGATCCTCCCCTCATTCCTTGCCTTCACAGCCAGGTTGGAGAACCACACACACGGGATCCAAAACTTGTTGTGTGGGGAATTCAAGCTCTCAAACTTCTTGTGCTCTTCTGGTGTCATGAGGCCTGGGTGGAAAAGAGTAGATGGGAGAAGGATGACTGTAAAGGGCAGAAAGGAACAAACTGGTCTGAAAAGAAAACTTAAATCTCAGGTGGTCACCTTGGCTGTCCTTAAAAATAACAGGGAATACTCAAGCACTCAGCTTTTGGGAGACACATAGAAGAGGATGAGTCTTGTTAAAACATTCAGTTATAGAATTGTGAGGGGCAGGCTTTATCTCATTTCATTTCAGAAGTCTACAGCACATATGACCAGGTCACAGTCAGCAGGGAGATAAAGTACTGCTGAGGGTGCAATTGCTTGGTGTACATAGATGTTTGTTGAGAATGGGGTAACTTGTGTCCTAAAAGTGCCTGTTTCTCTCTCCGGATTGCAAAGGGAAACCAGTTGAGTAGGGTTCTAATTGACATATCCCTCTGGGGAGGGAAATGTCATATCTTGAGAAGCATCTTCAGAGAGGATTCAGGGAGCCCAGCACTTGAGGTCAGAGGCTCCAATTCCCACCTGCCCAGTGGAAAACTGTTGCCCTGAGGGAGGATGAACATTCCACTTGGTAAGCTCTGCTTGTGTACTGCTGTAGATCTGTGCACAGGGTCATTTACTACAGAGAGCTCTTCTCTTCCTGCTTCCAGAGCAGGGTGAGCAGCTCCTAGTGAAGTTGCTGCACCACATTACCCTAATCTGACCAGCCGGGGCTACTCTGTGACCTGCAGCGTATCTACATTGACAAACAGGATCTTGGCACTCTCCTTATGTATAAAAGCTTGGGTAGAGACACTTCATATTTCAAACAAACCTTCCAGCCACTCTTAGGAGCATGCTGTGAAATAGGGAAACATCAACCATTGATGATTTCAGTAGAGCAGAGTGAGCACCACTGCAGACATCAGCTGAGCACATTGCAGCACTATCCCACCTCCAGTCTGGAGGTCATGAAGCCCTTTCCAAGGCTCTTTGCCCCAAAACCAGCACCAAGGTGATGCTGTGTGGTGCAGAAGGCAGGACCAGCACTGACCTGCCCTCACGACGTGCTCCATGCTGGGGAAGCGCTTGTAGACAGCGGTGCTGACTGAGCGCAGTATCAGGACACTGCACAGGTTGCTGTAGCGCATGAGGGTGCGACGCAGGAGTCGCCCGTACTCATCCTCCCCATCCACATTGCAGGAAACCAAGTTCATGATCCGGTCAGGCCATGGTATGCTCTCATACTGAGCCCACCAGCGGGACACCACCAGAGCCACGTAGAAACCTAGAGGTGAGCTCAGCACATTAGCTGTCCTGAAGGGATGGGAGATGTCAATGCTTGTGTATAGGATGTTTTGTTCTGCTCATACAGGGATGGATGCAGGCATCCAGGGATGGATGCAGGCATGATGGTGGTGGGACACTGGCACAGGTTACCCAGAGAAGCTGTGGCTGCCCCATCCCTGACTGTGTTCAATGCCAAGTTCGATGGGGCTTGGAGCAACCTGCTCTAGTGGAAGATGTCCCTGTCTGTGGCAGGGGTTGGAACTGGGTGAGCTTTAAGGTCCTTTCTAACCCAAACCATTCTCTGATTCTCTGCAATTCAGATCCCCATGCTGAAGTTAGAGTCTGGATTTCATGGTTTATTTGGTGCTACCTGGTGCCTGCCCTCCTGTCAGAGCCCAGGGCATGCCAGCACATCTGGCCAGTGCAAGCTGTGTACTGGGAGCATACCTCATAGCTGTGACATGAAATGATGCTTGGGGAGGTTTGCAAAGGCAGAGGGAGGGATCTGCTGAGTGAATCTTGCCTGCCTGCAGAACTATAGCAAACCAGGGGGAAGAAATGCTGCCTCTTTCCCCTCCCTGTGTGCTCGCAGAGCTCCTTACCCAGCACAAAGGACACAGGGATTAGCTCAGCATAGCTGTTGCAGTAGAGCGCCAGCTTCTCAAACATCAGCCTTTGGCTCTCGTTCAGGATCAGCCTAAAAGGAAGAAACAGAAGCATCAGCCTCAAAGAAGAGTCTGTGCCTTGTTGGGCCTGCTGAAGTATAGGAGTCTGGCAAAGGAAGCCAAGGATGTGTACTCAGAACACTCCCATGCCATGAGAATGCTGTGAGTGAACACCACTCATGAGCCCACCTCCCAGAATACCCTGCTGACCAGTCCAAAGGAGCCCAAATGGTCACTGACAGAGAGTAAGTGATGCAGGTTGATGTCACTATTTTCGTACTCAGTGCTGTGTGATACCAAGGGTTTGACACAGAGCTTGGATGTGCACTGCAGTTCACTTAATACCCCACAAAATGTGAGCTCAAGCTCTGCTCTTACATGGATTCCTGTCTCTTTCTTAGACCCACTTCCCTGCTTCTGTGCTGCCTCTGGGATCAGCACAGAGCTCCCTCTTTCCTCACCAGATTTTCTTTTACAAGGGCCTGTAGGGACAGGCCAAGGGGAATGGCTTTAACCTGCCCGAGGGGAGACTCAGATGAGCTCTTAGGCAGAAGCTCTTCCCTGGGAGGGTACTGAGGTGCTGGCACAGGGTGCCCAGAGAAGCTGTGGCTGCCCCATCCCTGGCAGTGTTCAAGGCCAGGTTGGACACAGGGGCTTGGAGCAAGCTGCTCTAGTGGAAGGTGTCCCTGCCTGTGGCAGGGGTTGGGACTAGATGAGCTTTAAGGTCCCTTCTAACAAAAAACATTCCATGACTCCATGAAAGTCAGAGCAGCCACAGTTGCCTCATTACAGATCTGTGGTCCCAGGGCTGATGTCAGCTCTCAGAAATGTACCCAAGGCATTGCCTGTTGTGTAACAAGGGAAACTCTTGCCTAAAGCTCCTGGCTGTGGACCAGTTCAATCACGATCTCCACTGATCTACATTCCCATTCTATAGGTAACCATCAAATGCACCTCTTAATCTCAGAGAAGAGAAACTGTGTTACTTCCCAGGACAGAAAAAGGAGATTTATCATCTGCTAAGCAGCATAGGAGCCATAAGGAAGGACCTTTCCTCCTGTGCACAGAGGCTGGTGAGTGGCTGGCCAGCTCTTCTTCAGCAGCATCATTATCCCAACCCTGCACTGCTCAGTTGTCCTGCTCCAGGACAAGCTGAGAGTGATGGGTTGTGTTAGTGTTAATGTACAAGGATGCTTACCTGTAGACAAGACTGATGGTGAAGTAGAGAGAGATGAAGATAAGGAACTCTGAGTAGAGCAGTTTGTAGATACTTCCTTTCCATTGGAGCAGGAGCTGTGAGAAGGTGCCTAGGCGGGCATCAGCCACACGGTTGGTGTATGTCACTGTCATCACAGATCCTAGTGGACACAGAGTGAACAGATGATGAAGCTGCCAGCAATCTTGCAAAGGAAGAAACAAGTTAGGACCAAAAGACAGGTAAGATAAAGTCAGTGACATAGAGAACCAGGAGGAAATTTATGATATGTGATGGATTTGATGAGCTTGCCATCATTTTCCCTGTCTTTGAGCTGCATGTGAGCTGGATACGGTGATGGAGGATACACTTTCTCATGAAGCCCTTGGTTTCTAGTGTTTGATGGTCAGCATTCAAGTGGAGGTGGGAAGTTGGAGGGGACAAAGCCCACATCTAACTCCCTCCCACAGTTCCCACTCCCACAGTTTTTTTTAAGATTAATTCTCAGCATCACAAACTCCAAAGTTTCTTACCCCATTTATTTGTTTTTCTTATAGTATTTGCTTCAAATATGTTGTTTCTGTAACTCTACTTGTTGGGGAAAAAAATGCCCCCAGAAAAACACCAAATGAATGCACAAAGTCCATAAAGGAGAGATTTCTTGGTACTGTTCCAGATGAAGGTACCCCTGGAGATCTGATAGGTTTTGTCGCTCTTGCCCAACAAGTATAGCTGCTAAATATAGGCTGAGGGCCATACCTGAACTATGCTGGTCCCATTCCCACAGGCAGAACAGCTCTCCCTGTTAGAGAGCTGAGAGATGGAGTTTAGCCACAGATTCCAGGAACTCCACCCCCCCTTTCCTTCAACCGTCCTTTGTGCAATAAATCACAGTGGATGAAAAAAGGCATTCAGGCTTGTGAAATGCTTCCCGATCCCCATTGCAGCATCCCCGTTTCACTTGTAGTTTAACTTTCGATAAAGAGAATGGAGTCATAGAATCAACTTGGAAAAGAGCTTTAAGATCAAGTCCAACCATTACACCAGGAGAGTAACCAAATAATTCTTTGTCAGCAATTAATAATCAGACCAACTAATATAAATCACCAGTTTAATCCATGCCAGGCAGGGAGGTGAATGATGCCTTGGTTTAGAAATAATTATCCAGTGTGAGACTATTGGTATTTCTGTATCTTAATAGGTTACCAGGATGTTACACAGACATTGCTGTTTAACAGAGGCAATAACGTTAATAGTTATGGGGCCTGAATGGTGGAGACAAAGAAGCCCTTCAAGGGACAAACCAGACCTTACTGCTCTGTAGGAACAGTTGAAGGCAGGTGAGTTTGTGTCCATGCTCCCTGTTTAAGCATCTTAGTGAAAGACCTACACTTAGCAGGGGGAAAACTCAGGTCCCAGTGAGCTGGTGCTGTGAAATAAACCAGCAAAGCCTGTATCAAATAGCATCTTTGTCCTGGCTTTGGCTTTTTGGTGCTGCTCCTTCTTTGGGATTCCCTGTCTTAACTCCCCCCAAGTTCCCTCTCATGGTTATATCGGAAGAGTAGAGCTGGTACCTGCCCTGCCCTGTTTCCGTACATGTTTCTGGCCAGTGCATGGGGCTTAGACCTAGAGATTGCACATATGTATATGCTTAAAGAAAGCTGGCTCTTCCCTCAACACTTTGGGTCTTGGAAGTGCTCAGGGAAACTCTTCATTGCGTAAGTCAAATACAGATTCACTTTTTACCAAACATGGAAAACTTCAGCTCCTGTCCATGTAAATAATGGATGTCACTCACCTCTCTGCCATTCTGCTCCAGTATGGGATATGGGGCTTTTCCCAGTGCTTTTTCCTCCTGCTCTGAATGGTTAAGGCACTTCCCTGCCTGCCTCTGTGGGATTGCCCTGGAATGCCACTGGCACACTCAAAGCACCATTTGGGGTTGAAGTACATGATGGGATGTGACTCACTGCAGCACCAGCACTGCCACACCAGCAAGCTATGGGGGGGAAGAACCATCAAGAGCCATTCCCTATGTGGTACCAGGGAGCTGCTGCCTGCCACTGCCTGATCTGTCTGGACTAACCATTGCTCCTGAAGGTCAACAGACACTTATTAGACTATGAGAATCCTTCAACAACAAGCCTGCATCAGGTGCATTACCCACCACATAAGACAGCAAATAGACATGAGCAGAAATGGGGAACAAGCAGACGAAGCGAGAGGAGGTCATGGATAGGCAGAAGGATAGCTCTTGAAGGAATCTACCTGCTCTCAGAAGGACAAGATACTCACAGTCATGGGCTCCTGAGCTGCACCAGAGGCTGTGGAGGTTTGGTCCCACACGTGTCCTCTCTGGGTCCTTTGTGGCCCATGCCATGTCCCACCTCCTTGTGCCCCCTTGGCTCATGGGGGGGATTGAACCTGACAGACACGGTGTGTTAAGGAGCCTGAAACCCACTTGGGAGCTGCAGCCGGTCACTTGATGCCATAATCCTTCCTCGTTACAAAAGAGACTCTGTTGTCTTTTGCCCTGTTCCTTTCTAATCTTCTGAGTAAGCTCTGAGTGTTTATAGAGGCGGCAGGAGCAGGGGGAGGCAGGGCTGGCTGCTCCGAGCCGCTGCTGCTAACTCCTGGCACAGCCATGGGGGCTGCCAAAAGAGAGGCATTTTCGCTCTAATTCTTTCCTGTTTAGTCCCTTTCCCCAAGCCACAACCTTACAGGAGCCCCAGGAGATTAAGTAGGGATGGAATTTTCCACAAAAGCCATAAAACGTGTGGCTCTTGGGGGCTGCACAGCTCTCTCTTCCTTAGGGAAGCTCCTAGCTTCTTAGGTCAGTGAAACTCCTGGTCCATGCTCTGCCTGGCTGCCAGTGGATGTATCTCTGTAGCTCCTCACTGTCCCTGGATGAGTTTGCCATCTCTTCCAGCTGTGGTTTGGATGCTGGGGACTTCTACCCTGCCACTGGCTTCCTGAGACTCTTCCCATGTGTTCACTTTGTTTTTCACTTGCTTCTCCAGCAGTGCTGGGGAGATGTCACCGCTCTTTCCTGCATGCCATCCTGGGAAACGCTGCTCCTTGCCTTTGTCCTTAAGCATCCACCAAGCCAGGGAACTCCTTGCCTCTGTCTCTGTGAGGTCTCAGTCCCTTTTCTGCTTCCAAGTTGCTGCTCTGAGCCTGAATCATAGAATGGTTTGTGTTAGAAGGAACCTTAAAGCCCATCCAGTTCCAATCCCCTGCCACGGGCAGGGACACCTTCCACTAGAGCAGCTTGCTCCAAGCCCCTGTGTCCAACCTGGCCTTGAACACTGCCAGGGATGGGGCAGCCACAGCTTCTCTGGGCACCCTGTGCCAGTGCCTCAGCACCCTCACAGGGAAGAACTTGTGCCTAAGAGCCCATCTAAAACTGTTAGCTTAAGGTAAGCCATGGCCCTGTCTCACCACCCTGTCCTGACCCCATCCCTTAGCCAGCTGTGGGACACTGTGGAGAGGGAGCACAGGTCTGATCCATGCAGGCAAGACTCAGGCTCCTTTGAGAGGCTCTGTGGGCTTTTATCACGTCTCTTTCCAGCAAGCAGGCAGCAAAGTCTCCAGTGGAATTAGATGAAGAGCTAGGTCTTGTAACAGCCAGCTTTCCCTTGTGCTAGTCTACGTGCCTGTATCTTTGACGCTTGCTTAGCATCAGCAGCAGGGATCAGTTTGTCCATACTGTAGGTTTCTCCTCTCTGTGTGGCTGAGTCTAGACAAGGGGAGGGTCTTGTTTCACTGCCTGGCATCTGTCTAACGTGGGTTTTCTGGTGCTGTCCTTGGAATTGCTGTCAGTGGTGGGGGAGACCATTGATTAAAATGTGGGACTCACTTTTAGAGTGAGAGGAGGTCACACCAGTGACATCCAGTTTTAACTCTGCTGTAGGCTCTGGTATGTAGGGCTTCCTCTAGTCCCGATTCCTTTCTGACAAAAAGACCTATGGAGATCTGAATTCTGCTAGTCTCTGGGTAGAAGCTGCTCTGAATTGGATCCCATGATATGCAGAAGGACATGGGCACACATCTGGTGGGAGTAAGCTATCACATCTGGCAGTGCAACTGAGAGGTTGCCACGCTATGCGTTAGGAGAATGGGTATAACTGCAAGGGGGAAGGATGGCCCTGGAGCACTTGGCCTTACCAAGATCCTTCCTGCAGGAAATCTCTTCATCCCTGGATGTGCTGCAGCTCCCTGGCCCTGGAGTCCCCCTGCCATGGATGACTTGCTCTGGGTGGGTAGGATGGCAAAGCAGAAAAGGCAGCATGATGGTTATACAGCATGAGATCCAGACCCCGTACAAGAAGCATCAGCACCTCATGAGAGAGCTCAGTGCCTGAGCCCTCATCTCTACACATAGCAGGGGACAAAAATGGTTCAGGTGAGACATTTGCTGGAGCTGCTGGGAACAGTTTGGGTGCTCCTGAGGACTCCAACATGAAATGACAAAACCTCATATCTTGCTCTTTATGTCAGGATGCGCTGGCATCTGGGGGACTCTGCTGCCCTCCTCTGAGAGCAGCTCAGCTGGCAGTTTGTGTGGTTCAGAGCTGCCCTGAGGACAACATAGAACCATAGAAGAGTTAGGGTTGGAAAGGACCTTAAGATCATCCAGTTCCAACCCCCCTGCCATGGGCAGGGACACCTCACACTAAACCATGTCACCCAAGGCTCTGGCCAACCTGGCCTTGAACACTGTCAAAGTATTTGTGGAATTTGGAAGTGAACAATTGAGGGGTTTGGATCTCTTTTCACATCCTCTGGGGCCTCAGTCCTTGAGGAAGATGCTGGTCTGAAAGCCTGCCTTGTGCAGAAGCAGGGGAGGAAGCAAGGAGGTGCTGACATCCCTCCTCAGCCTCACAGCCCTGGAACCATTCTCCTTTTCTCCATTTTCCAGATGAGCAGGGACGCTGGCACCAGAGGTGTCTCTCAAACTGCCATTCCACCCTGGAATCCGGTGTAAATAAAAAGAAAAGTGGGAAATATCTGAGGAGGGGCTGTTTGGCACAGGCAGGATTTACTGAGCTTTGAGCTGGCCATGAATGTTTGAAGAGGATGCAGTGTAGTTGTTTCTTTCTTCAAGGGCTATGGGCTGTTCTAACACAAGGAGGGGACAACTTGCTGCTCTAGT